TTTGGAGCACCCCTCACACGGTTCGTGGCCCCATAGGGAGATGTACCGAAGGCCCTAGTGGCAGGGTCCACACGGCTGCGCCGCCCCATTTTGGCGCATCCCTCACACGGTCAGGGACCCACAGGGAGCTTCACTGAAGGCCCCAGTGGCAGGGTCCACATGGCCGCGCCGCCCCATTTTGGCGCGCCTCTCGCCCGGTTCCCCCCACGTGGCCCCATGAGGAGCTCCACCGGCAGCGGCGGTGCCACGACACGGCGCTGACACTCTCGTGTGGTTGGGTCCTTCGCCAGGACTAGTTTTGGTTGACGGCCCCGAGGGGTCGGCGAGGTCCTTCCGAAGCCGAAGACTACCAAAAGCCCCCCGTCGTGATGTCCCGAATCCGCCGACGTGCCGCGAAGCGCGAGGGGAGTTCCCCCAGGCTCTCAGGTGAGCGACGATCAAACAGGCGTCTTACGCGAGATGACGCAGCGATCTGACGCGGTGGCTTGCGCGGACCGCCCGCGCGGCACGCCATATTTGACGCAAGGGCGCTTACGCGCGATCTTGCGCGGGCAGCTTGCGCGCCAATGTCGGCGCAGACGACCCAGTTTTTGCGTCGCTCATGTGTTCTCTGCCCTGAGTCCTGTATTCTGATATTCTAGGGGCTGGGTCCCGAGATTGTCGGATCAATTCGCAAAGCGGCGCTCTGTGAATTTGCCTTAGGGCATACGCACCCGCTGCTCCTCCCCTCATTAGGAGAGACATGCTCTGCTAATTTGCCCCAAACCAGGGTTCCCCATCCTGCTCGGGCTATGATTAGCAGAGCGCCGCTCTGCGAATTGGCTTCAGAGTATGTGCGCGTTCACAGCTCCCCCTCTCATAAGCAGAGCGCCGCTCTGCAAATTTGACTCAGAGCATGGCCCCACAATGGGGCAAGAGGGCTCCAAGAAGCGCCCAAGATGGTCCAATATGGCCTCCAAGACGGCCCAAAAGGGTCCAAGATGACCTCCAAGACGGCCCAAGAGGGCCCAAGATGCGTCCGAGTCCGCCCAGGGAGCCTCCAAGATGGCCCAAGAAGCCCCTGCGACGCCTCCAAGACGGCAAACGAGGTCCCTAAGAAGCCCCCAAAGGCCCCCAAGAACCCCAAGGAGGCCCCCAAGAGACCTCCAAAAGACACCCAGGAAGTTCCCATGAGCGCCCAACAATGACCCAGGAGGCCCGCAGGGGTCTCTTCCTCCTCCGCTCCCTCTTCTCGTCATTCTCCGCTTCTCTTCTCTTCTTCTTCTTCACCTACCTGATCTCCCTTCTCCCACGCCCGTTCCCCGAATGCCCTACCAATTAATTTGGGGAACGCATGCTCCAATGTTTACGTCAAGCTCGAGCTCGCGCGTTCAGCCACATATGCGGTCCGACAGGGCATGCCTGGCGTGCTGAAACATGTTGTTGGTATTGGTTCTTCTAGTGAGAGATTTTCCCTTGTGGTGTTGCCTCGTCCCAAGAGGTCTCGACAAAGCCTCCTAGGCGGCCAAAGAAGCCTCGAAGAGGTCCTCTGGAGTGTCTGCCGAGGTCTCGGTCATGGTTTTCCAAATTGTGTTCCATGATGTTTGCATGTACTCTTTTTGGGCCTTCGGGCTCTGACGCGGCCTGCACAGTTCCTCTCCTCCCCTCTTCCACATCCTAGTCCCGATCTCCACGATGTCTCCCTTTTCCACTCCTCTTCCTCCTCCTCTTCCTCCCTCTCCTGATCCACCCCTCATCCTCCTCCAGGTGTTCCCCCACGAGTTTCCAGAACGGCTGGGGGAACACATAGTCCGATGGCTTGGCCAAGCTGGGATCTAATGTTTGGCCACAGAGGCGCCTCCCCAAAGGGCAGGGGGCGGCGGTGAGTCGCCGTAGGCATCTTCGATAACATCGAGATGCCTCTGGGGTACCCCGGCGGGGGTTACCCCGGACGCATCTCCAGCTGGGTGCCCTGGGCCCGTGGTCGCGCTCTCCCTGGGGCGCCCCGACGCGGGAGAAAGACGGCCCAATCGAGGAGGCTCGAAACTTCCAACGCAAGCATAATCAGTTTCCCCCGTGCTGGCCATGATGGCCGCCACACGATGTGGCCAACACAGCGGGCACAGGTGGCACACGGAAACAAGACCGCAGGCGAGCCCCCACAGGGGGGTCGGGGGAGCCCTGCATCGCCCCGTCCAGCAGCCGTTTCGCCTTAGGCTTCCTCACAAGTGATTCAGGACTCGTGCCCTCGCCTCAAGAAGACCAGCTACATCTTTGGCCTCGACTGCATTCTTTGCTCACGTGCACATGGCCGCGCCTCGACCTCCCACTCCTCGACCCGCCTCTTCTCCTCTGCTGCCGCTGGAATGTTCTGCTGGGGCAATTCCACGATGCGAGCACCAGTGCATGCCTACGCCGTGCTTATTTTTGTTCTCTCTCTCTCTCTCGATCCTCGGGAGCACCCCCACGGTGCTGACCGTAACGGCCCATGGGCGGCCGAGGCACGGGTCCCGCCGCAGCTCCGAGATGGCGCTGGACACCTCGGCGTCCGCCTCCTCCTCCTCCCCCTCCCCCTCCCCCTGCTCCTGTGCTCCTGCTCCTGCTCCTGCTCCTGCTCCTCCTCCTCCGCTTCGTTTTTTTCACCTCCTCCTCCTCCTCCTCCTCCTCCTCCTCCTCCACCCCCTCCTCCTCCTCCTCCTCCTCCTCCTCCTCCTCCTCCTCCTCCTCCTCCTCCTCCTCCTCATCTTGCTCCGTCGCCTTGTTGTTTTTCATCTCTTCCTCCTCCTCATCCTCCTTCTCCTCCTTCTCCTCCTCCTCCCCCTCCTCCTGGGCACCTCGGCGTAGTTGAGCAGCGGCTCCCCCATGCCCATGAACACCACGCGCTCCACGGCGGGGCTCAGCCTCCTCTTGCGGCGGGCGCGCTCCCGGGGCGTCGGGGCTCGATCGAGCATCGAGGATCGATCGAGGGTCGCATCGAGGATCGAGGATCGTTGGAGGAGTAGTTTGAGGATCGAGGATCGATCGAGGGTCGAGGATCGATGGAGGATCGATCGAGGACCTAGCATCGATCGAGGGCCCAGGGCCCCCCTCCCGCCCCGCCCGGCCTGTGGGGCCCCCGGGCAGCCGACGGCCCAGGGGCACCCTCGGCGCGACGCGCCCCCCCCGAGTGCGTCGCGGGCGGGTTCGAGAGCGGAGGAGGCAGCAGCGTGCGACTGACGCCAGCAGCCTCTCGTTCGTTGCAGGCCGCGCCCGTGGCGCTACTCTCCCTGCTGGACCAGGCAGCGCAACTCGAGGGCCCCTGGCCCAGCCGCATTTGCGATGATCTCCGTTGGTTGGGGGGGGGGGCGAGTGCATCTCCCGGGAGCGATGCTGCCCAGTGGGCTGCCGAGCTGGCTGGCGCACGCGGCGCGCGAGCGTGGCACGCGCTTTTGTAAAAGAAGGCGCGGGCAGGCGGAGCGCAAATCAGCAGTGCGGAAGCACAGCGGCCCAGCGAGCATAAAATGGGGCGTTGTGCGTGGGGCTGCGAGGGCTGCCAGGGAGGCCAGAACGCTGTCCGCCGCCTCCGTGCACTCACGCCTCGAGGATGGTCTTGGCGGGCGTGGCCCTCATCACGGACGCAGCTGGGAGAACGCAGGGGAGAGGATGCGGATGGGAGGGATGGATGAGGCTCGGGGGGAAGCATGAGGGAGGTTGTAGGGAAAGGGAGCAGAGGGACGGAGTGAATGGATCAGGAACAAAAAGAGCGAGCGGGGAATTAGTGAGGTAAGTTGAGACATGTTGAAACTAATAAGAAGAAGGAGAGGAACGTGGGGGATATCCGGACGACGACAACAAAACACCGACATCGATCTGGGCCTGGTTCCATCCTGGGCCCTGAGATCGGTGCACACGCCTCCCCACTGGGCCAGGGTGGCTCACACACCCAGACATCCTCCGAAACTTTTTTTGTCGGCCCGCGGCCGCAGAGGTCCCGCCGCCTTCCCTCAGGATAGCTCTTCGTCTCATGTTGCTCCCATCGTGCTTGAAGACCACATCCCAAAAATAATCTCGAGCACCCAGGACAGCATCGAAGCAGCGCCGAACGAGCCTCGCCTCCCGGGGCCCGAGGCGTGAAAACCATCCCGTTTCGGTGCTTCCTCGGTGCTCGGAGCTCTTTCTGGCGATCGGGGCTTTGAAGTAGTTTGGGGCAAACAAACCTACCTCGCTTTTGACCACCCTCGCTTCCAAGGGATACCAAGCGACGCCAAACTACGGCCTGCACTGGTCAGGCCGCTTGACGAGGAGGCGCGTGGTATGACCTGGTTTTGCCTGGAAGCGAGAGCGGGGTGGGTACTTCACGCTCCGAAGTAGGTTGGGACATCAGAGCCATCGTCCTCGGGCCTGGCACGCGCGGCCTGGCCCTCCCCCCGCCCTCCCCCTCCCTCCTTCCCTCCCTCCCTCCCTCCCTCCCTCCCTCCCGCCCCCTCTCTCACCCTCCTTCCCTCGCCCTCCTCCCCTCCCTCCCTCCCTCCCTCCCTCCCCTCGGGGCAGGCGGCCTGGCCTGAAGCCCCCCCCGAGGCTCCCGGCGGCCTCGAGGGGCCGCGCCCGCGCCCCCTGGCGGCCTCGAGCCGCTCGAGATGGTCCTCGGGCCCGCCGCAGGCGGGCCGAGACCACGAGCCCCTGCGCCGAGCGGCCCACGGCCTCGGAACGGCACCCCCGGGCGGGGAGCGCTCCGAGGAGGAGGAGGGCCCGAGCACTGAAGCTACGTCGGGCCTGTCCCCACACAAGGGGATTTTGGACGAGAAATAAAACAGACGCCAAACAAATGCTCAAAAAAATGCCCCCAAATACTCAAAACATAGTCCCCAGACTATTTTGTTGACTATTTTTGCATTTTCCTCCTGTAGAGGGACAGGCCCGACTCAACACTAAAGCAGGCAAGGGCACGCCGCTGCCTCTCCCAAAAGCCATCCTGTGGTGCCGGGCCCTCGCTTCGACGAGGCAGCGCCCCGCGCCCCCTCTCGCTTCCTCCGACTCCCGCTCCTGCCTGTGCCCTCCGCATGTCCACTCCGGCACGCACCTCGCACGTTGCGTGGCTCGAGAAGGAGCTCCACCGAAGGAGGGTCCTGCCCCCTTCTCCCCTCCTCTCCTCCCCCTCCTCCCTCCTCTGCCCTCCTCTGGCTCTCCTCCTCCTCCCCCTCCCCCCTCCCTGCCTCTGCCCGCTGCGCGCCCGTTTCGGCACGCCCCTCACACGCGTCGTGGCGCCACAGGGGGCCCCAACTAAGGCCCAAATGCCACTAATCACACGGCGGCACCGCCTCATTCTGGCACACCCCTCACACGTGTCGTGGCCCCACGGGGAGCCTCCATCTGAGGCCCACGTGCCAGCGTTCGGCGCCGCCTCATTCGCTCACATCCCTCACACTCTGCCGGGCCCCACAGGAAGCTCCCACGAGGGTTGAATGCCAGCGCTCGCATGGCGGCGCCCCCTTGCTTCGGCACACCCCTCGTGCTTCGTGGCCCCATAGGGAGCTCCACCAACGGCGCCAGCGCCAGCGCCCGCCCGCTTGGCGGCACCGGCCAACAATGTAGGCACAAGCATCACACGCTTTTGGCCCCACAGGGAGCTCCCCGCCCTTCGCCCCACCTGCCTTGCGGTACTCACGACCGCATTTGGTTGGGCCCCTCGCCAGGACGATTGGTTCCCGCCCGTAGCGTCCGCTACGGGGAGGAGGGGGGGTGGTCGGGCCTGCGAGCGCCACGGCATGCTTGCTAGCAGCAGAGAATACTCGCCGGCACCACAGCATACCTGTGAGCACCGCGTCATGCCTGTGGGGGAACGTCCCCCCCCGTGTAAGCTCGGTACCGTTGCGGGTAGAGAGGGGGAAGGGGAGGTGGGGCGACCCCCCGGAACGGACGTTACGTTACGTTTCGACCCTGCCCCTCGAACAACACAACAAAAACGCCATAAACATAAAGTACACGAGAGAAAACACCTAATCGATGGATGGACCCTCCCCTTCACACGCGCGCGGAGCGCGCCAGGGGCGACGCCGGAGGCGCCGCCAGGGCTCTCCAGCACAGATCCAAGGTATCCGCGCGGAGCGACAACAGTTTATGCTTATGGCGTTTTCTCTTCTTCGAGAAAACAATCTCTGCCCCTCGAAGACCTTGGTTGGTTTTGACCCTCGTGCCAGCTGCAACGTGGCCCGGACGCCGACCTCGGGGGAAAAGCCGCCCGGATTTTTGGACACCCGAAATGGGTACCGAAAGAATGGGTACAATGCCCAACAACAAATGTTGTCCCAAACCAACAGCGGCCGCTGTTGTGCAGGCGGCCTTCTGTCTCGAATGGACACAGGCCGCGGCCGCTTGGACAGCGAATCCTGTTCAAAATGAACAGGAACTGCTGTTGGGCATCGTACCCATCCTTTCCGTGCCCATTTCGTTCGTGCAGAAGATTGAAGACAAGCGCCCCCTCGGAGATCTCCCGGCACGGGCCCGGGGCCCAGGACCAGGGCCGGCCACGACTGGCGCCCCCCTGCTCTCTTAGCTCACGCTTCGTCTGTCCCACGGGGCAGCTGTTTTCGACGCCATCGCCACACTGAGCGGTGCGAGAAGCCCAGACGTGCACGCGTCGTACAAACATGTCAGGACAGGAGTTTTTTCGTAGTTTTTTGGTCCTCTCCTCGGAACCCTCACACAGCCTCGAGACAATCAAAAAACGACTCAGGATGAGAAGCCGGTCCTGGGGAAACGGTCGGGACTTCTGGGGACCGCGTATGTCGCATATCTGGGAGTAGGTCTTCGCTGGCGAGCGATTATGATGCTAGCCCCTGGCCAAATCTCGATGGCGCACGAGGGCGCTCAGTGTTTCACCAACGGGGCCTTCGCCCATGCCAGTCTCAAACTGTCGCGTCCAAAGGCACTTTGAGGCAGCACCGTCGCCGAATCTGCCTGGCCTGCGGCACTCAAGAATTTGACAGCCAGCGCATCGCCGCCGCCGTGCGACCCGACGAGCTGCCCAAGCTCCTTGCCGCGTGCACCTGCTCCACGATGGCCCACCCAGGGAGGTTGCCGCCGGCCGCCGCAACCGCTCCGCCCGCGCCCGCTCTGCCGCTGTCGCAGAAAGCGCAGTCGAGCGGACATCGGGCCTGGCGCCAAGAAGACCTCCGACGTCGTTTCCCCGCCAGCCTGTGGTGTTGGGCCCCTGTTTTGAAAACGCAGCGCGCCGCGTCGCTCCTCCTTTCTCCTTCCTCCTCCTGCCCCTTTGGTCTGCAAGCGGTTTCGCGTCCTGCTCACACCCGGCAGTGCCGCCCCTGGCGGACTTCGGATGGCATCCGAGTTCCGACTTGCTGCCCTTTCTGCTGCGCCCTGCCATCTCTGCTTCTGCCCTCCGCCTGTCTCCGTTTCGGCTCACTCCTCACGCGTTCGTGGTCCCATCGAAAGCCCTAGCGGCTGCGTTCGCATGGCGCCGCCGCGCCTATTTCGGCGCCCCCCCCTTGCACGTTTCGTGGCCCCACAAGGAGCCCAACCGAAAGCCCTAACGGCTGCGTTCGCACGGCACCGCCGCACCCATGTCGGCACATCCCTCGCACGTTGCGTGGCCCCATGAGGAGCTCTTCCGCAGGCCCCAACGGCTGCGTTTGCATGGTAGCACACCCCCCACACGCTTCGTGGCATCGTAGGAAACTCCACCGCCGCGCCCACGTGTCGTGGCTCTACAGGGAGCTCCACCGAAGGCCCCAAAGGCCGTATTCGCATGGCACCACCGCGCCCGTTTCGGCAAACCCCCATTACACGGTTCGTGGCTCCAAAGGGCGCTCCACCGAAGGCCCCAACGTCTGCGTTCGCACAGCGCCGCCGCACCCGTTGCGGCACACCCCTTGCACGTTCGGTGGCCCCATAGGGAGCTCCACAAAAGGCCGCAATGGCTGCGTTCGCACGGCACCGGCGCGCCCTTTTCGGCACATCCCTCACACGCTTCGCGGCCCAGATGGGAGCTCCACCGACAGCGGCACGTAGCAACGACGCGGTACTCACACTTGCATATCGTGGGGTCCTGCGTCAGGCTATGTGTTTTGTCCCATCCATGCTGTGTTGGGTCCTCGTTTTGAATCAGCAACGGCCCGCATATCCTCTCTTCTCCTCCTCCCGCTTTTTCCTCCTCCCACTCCTGCTTGTGCCCTCCGAATGTCAACTCCTGTACGCACTTCACACGCCTCGTGGCTCAATCGGGAGCTCCACCGAAAGGGCGGTCAACGCGGCGTCACCGCGCCCATGCCGGCACACCCCTAACACGTTTCGTGGCCCCATAAGGAGCTCCACCGAAGGGCTCACTAGGAAGGTCCGCATGGCGCCACCGCGCCCCTTTCGGGACACAAGTGTCGCTCCACTCCCGTTCCGTGCCCAGACGCTGGCAGCAACCCCGTCCGCCACAACACACCTACCTTCACGCGCACCTGTTCCCATCAGCGTCCAAACCTCACGCTTGCCGCCCATGAGGGCCTTCATCATCTGTTTCTCCTAGAACCTCAGGACCTTGGTACCGTGAAGCTCATTCCCGAGATTCCGAGTGTGCCGTTTGGCCCGCAGATGCATGCACTTGACCCCCGACTGGAACCCTCTGGCCGCTAGGACCGTGGTGACAACATACCCAGACTTGCTCGGTTAGAGGATCATTCCCAGTCCTCGTAGATCACCTGCAAAGTTCCTCACGCATGTGTACAATACGGTAGAACCCCTAACATCCTTACCTTCTCACTGCAACGTGATACCGTTCATCAATTTACGGGGCCTCACGTCATCATTTCGCGTGTACATCTTATCCATGACCCTATACATGACAACTTTGAATACAGTAGTGGCACGCGTGCACCCAGCCATCTTCTTTGATGTAAATAAAATGAACATGGCACTCATATTGGCATAGGCTCTCACCGTACGCGGGATCATGTATGTCTGCAAAGACCATCCAAATCAGCCTTACCCGAACACGCGCGCCTCGCTCATGCTAGCGCTCCACAGTATGGTCTCGTAACACTGGTACATCTCCACTGTGGGAAGCATGCGCATTTCCGTGACAAGCTACGATTGTGGCCGCATGAGCCATCTCTCGAACGCGTGAAACAGCTCCGCGAACGTACCCAAACCAACATCTGATATTAACCAGAAGTGCCTGGGCAGCACGCGCGCCGGTCCACGTCCAGTGCGCCTGGCAAGAAAGAGAAGAACGCTGCGCAAATCAACGCAGCGCAGCTTCATTAGTTGTCCCCAGCTTGCCGAATCACCTGGCAAGGGAAGCTCTTCCGCACCGTGCAGCTGCCAAACCCGCGTCCATGTGTCAAGCTCGCAGTCAGCAAGCTCGGGTGGAGCGCGCAACTCTGAGGCGCCCAGGACAGCTTGGACTCCTTGGGTTCTCGTGCAAAGATGAGCAGCGCGCCCGCCATCTCGGAGCGCCGCCTCTGTCCACGTGGTCCAAGCCCGCTGCTTCTTCCTGGCGAAAGCGCCCAGGGCCAACTGCGCTTTTGCCATCGTCGCCTCCGCGGCGACCTCGAGCTGGGAGTTCCCTAGCTATCCGGAAAAAAAACTGTCTTGAAAACTTATCCAATAGCATCGCCCAGCAAATCGTGTATCCGCGTGGCCTTCACCACCCGTGAAGCAAAGTGGTTCGCCTCAATTACGAGCATGGCCAGACTCTGCGCAGTTCTGGGCTTGGCCTTCTTGCCGTCGCTTGCCGCGGGTTGGGCCACCGCCCGTCGAACCAGGCGGTCTCCGGCCGCAGCTGACGCGTAGTTTTGGGGGCTGAGAATGACGGGCCAACCGCGGGCCTCCCCCATGAAATCACCATAGCCACCCGTCCCGACATATGGTCCATCGCATCCGAGGCAAGAACCAGCCTGTATCTTCCTGGAAATTCGAAGGACAGAAGCAGGCCGCTCCCCTGCAGCACATCTGGCATGACGAATCGAAATGAAGGATTCCCGATCACGCGGCGCCGTCGATCCATAAATATCTGTCTCAGGTCTCAAGGGATCGCGGGCACGCTTCTGCCCCGCCCCTTCTACCTCTAGCGCGTCGCCCGAGGCGGCCCGCGCGCCTCTCTGGGGCGCCGACCCGCAGTTGGCGCAATGAGAGAACTGTCGTCTACAATGTCAAGTGGTGCCGGGAGATCGCGGGCCCGCGTCGGCCCTGTCTCCTCTGCCCCCGGCGACCCGCCCGGGGCAGCCAGCTTAGTTCTCTGGGGCGCCATGCCCGAAGAGGACGCCGCAAGCGTGCCGCCATCTGTCATCTCGCAAGACCCCGAGCGATCGCGGGCCCCCCCCCCCCTACCCCAGGCGACGCGCCCGGGGCGGCCGGTGCATCTCTCTGGGGCGCCGCGCCCGCAGGCGTTGCCATGCCAAACGCGCCGCGTCCAGCTCCCTGGGGCGCCGAACTCGCCGCGGGCGCCGCAGGACATCCACCGTCGGCCCAATCGCAAGATTCAGGAGGATCGCGGGCCCACCTCGGCCCCATCCTCGCTCTCCCTGGTGAGCCGCCTGGGGCAGTCTGCGCAGCGCGCCGGGGCGCCGATCCCAAACTCCCCGACCGCGCCGTAAGGGGGCCGCCGACAGCGTCCTCTGCGGGCTTCACCTCCTCGCACAGGTCGGACAGCGGCTCGAAGAATAACGCGTCCACTCTCCGAGCGTGCGTCGCCCATCTCTCGGCAAACTTCCTGCGTGCTCGGTCTCGTCCCTGGCATGGGACTTCGCCTCGCTGCATTCTTGCTCCGCGATGCACTGGCTGTAGCCCTTCTTGGACGGGTTGGGGAACGCGTTCTTCCCGGCGGTCTCATGTCTACCTGCGAGCTCGACTTCCAGTGTATTCAGCGCCCCCAGCCAAGCATCTGCGAGGTCCTCCTTCGTCTTGACCCCCCGTGCCTTGCGCGATGCCGAGCCCCGCGGACGCGAATGTCCTGCGCAACCTTGCCTGGCCACCGCAGGCAGGGCCTTCAGCTCCATCGTCTTGCGCGACGGGAGAGGGGTCTCCTTTGCATGCGACATAAGGGCGACAAACATGTGCGGTTTGGTATCCGCATCTCCCACGGCAAACGGCCTCTTAACTCTGCCGACTAGCTTTCATCCTTCCAAACCTAGTCGGTGAAACATCCAGGTGACGATTAGCTGCGCGCCGATGCACCGCTCGCGATAGTCAGCCCGTCAATGGAAAGAAGCCAATCTTGGTTAGTGAGGTCAGCGCGCGGCATGTTGAAATTACCACCAACAATCCATGACCGCCAAATCGATCTCATCTCGTTCACATGGCTGGCCAAGGCCTGGAGGATCTCGACCTTCCTGGCAGACACACCATCGCTGGCATGCACGTATGTCCTCTGGGCGCTCCAAAGTGAACTTGGGCCGCAAGATGCCCACGCGGGATCGAAACGCCTGCCTGCGAACTGGGCGCTGCAATGACAGTCGCCATCTTTGGTGCGAGAACTGCAACTCCTGCCGACGACTCGTCCGCCGAAGCGGCCTGGACCTCTGCCCGAACACCGCGCCATCCCACGTGCAGAACACGCCTCTGGAAATCCGCCAACTTACATGTCAGCATGCGGCGCTCCTGCAAGCGTAGCACCATCTCCTTGTTATGGGCCCCCCCCCCCGTAGCTGCTGGGCCGGGGTGCAATCTGGAGTCCGAGCTGCAACATCCACCGTTGATAAACACAAATAAAGCACATCCTCCACCGTACTCTCACGCCGTGCGAGCCCGCTTCGGCGAACTCTGGATGCCTTCGCTGAGCCTCTTGACCGTGTCGCGCAGGTCGTCCTCGTCTACCGGTGCCGCTTGCCGCAGGGATTCCAGGAACTTCCGCAGCGTTTCAGCATCTCCAATGCACTTAGAAAGAACGTGCATACACTGCACAGGCGTCGGCGGAGCAGAAGCAAGCACTGGGTCATCAACTTCACCAGGAATGTGCACAGGCTGCTGCTCCTCTGGCCTGCCCTTCTTTTCCGCATCCAGGATTGCCCGCGTGGCAGCCTTGGGGTGGGAACGACAGCGTCGCAGCTTCCTGTTCTCCCAGCCCTCCTGCTCTGAAGGGCCGACCCAGCTCCCGACCGAAACTCCGAAGCTCTCGATGGTGGAGGAGGCTGCCATTTCGGGCGGCAGCTTGGTCTGAGCCTCAGGCACCTTCTGGTGCTCGGCCTCCTTCGCCACGATCTGCTCGAGCACCTCGATCTGTGCTCGCTCGGCTTCCTCCAGTGCGTTCTTGGCCTCCCCATTGGCCAGCTCAGCAGCCTCCGCCGCCTTCTCAGGCTTGTCCCTCTTGCTAGTGAGCTGCTTCTTCTGGTTGACCACGTCGTGGCTGTGCCTTCCGCAGCTTGGTTTTGCAGTTGTCTCGGTGCCGTTCGAGGTGCATCTTCTGCTGCTAGGCGAACTCCGAGGGTAGCTCGCGGGGCAAGGCCTTGAGCATTGCCTCGACATCCGCCAGGTCTTATAATTGCCGGCGGCGGCAGGAAGCGTCCCGCTGCCCGCGTCGACCTGCATGTCCGAGTCGCCGCCTTTGGGCTCCAGCTGCAGCGCAAGTCGGCAAGCTGCTTCTCCAAGGTCTTCTCACGCGATGTCTTGTTGCTGTCCGTGCCCTTGCCTTTGGCCTTGCCACCTGCCGCCGCTGACCATGAAGGAGCCTTGGGCGGCTTGATGGAGAAAAAGGCCTCCGCACACAAAGGCAGCCGCAGGGTTCCACCAACGTTCTCCCGACTTGTTGGTGCACCAACGGCACAGCCACGGTTTGGCCCACGGCATCCGACTCTGCTGGTGGCGGGACGCCTGGGACATCGCGGGGGGCCGTCAGGCCTACGCTGCAGCACGAGAGGAAGGGCCGCCAGTGAGCCCCTTGGGTGTTGGCTAAGAAGAAGACTTGTCGAGCGCAAGCGCCCTGGCACTTCTCTCGCGGACTACTGGTATCCGTGTTCCGCTGGGGAAGTCATAGCCTTGAACCGAAGTGGCTCCGGAAGCACGAAACGTGCGAGGGGTGTGCCGACGTGGATGTGGAGAACGCATGTGGACGGTGGCACTGGGGCCTTCGGTGAAGCTCCCAAAGGGACCGCATGCGGACTGTTGCCCGCAGGCCTTCGGTGGAGCTTCCTATGGGGCCACGGAACGTGTGAGGGGTGTGCCGAAATTGGTGTGGGGACGCATGTGGATGGTGACGGTGGCGCTGGGGACTTCGGTGGAGCCCCCTATGGGCCACGAAGCGTGTGATGGGGGGTGTTGACATGAGTATGGGGGACGCATGTGGACGGTGGCACTGGAACTTTCGGTGGTACTCCCTGTAGGGCCACGAAGGGTATGAGGGGTGTGCCGACATGGGTGTGGGGGACGCATGTGGACGGTGGCACTGGGGCTGTTCGATGGAGCTCCCTCTGTCTTATGAGGCCGCGAAGCGTGTGAAGGGTGTGCCAAACTGAGGGGGGTGATGGGAGGAGGGGGGATCGGGGGGAGGAGGGGGAGGAGGAGGAGAACGAGGAGAGGAAGGAACGCGGGGTGCTGTCTCTTCAAAACGAGGACCCAACACCACAGGATAGTTGGGAATAAGAAGTGGTACAAATACCCAAACGTAAACAAAAATAGTTGAAACATCGTCCCCAAACTATTTGTTCAAACTATCTTGGGATTTATTCTCCTGTAGTGGGACATGCCCGACGTAACGCTCGCGACGAGGCGCAGTCGATGGAAACCACCCCGGGACTCGAAAACGCAAAGCAGCCGAAAACGCTCGAAGTGCTGACCCCATCTGTAAGGAGCCCACCAGGGACGCACGCGCCCAACTACGCACACATGAACACGGCCCCCCACATCCGCGAGATTGACCGCGTGCTACGAACGTTCGCGCAATGCGCGCTCTTGAAACTAACGTGGATTCATGTACGTGTGCGTCCTCCTTTCGCTCCAGAATCTGGGAGTCCCAAGTATAATGGGCCCATTTTCAACCACCGCTATCACAAGCAGGGGAGGGAGGAGAAGGAGGAGGAGGAGGAGGAGGACCTCTTCATCCTCCCTTCTCACCCGTCCTACACATGGTGATGGTGGTAGTCTTCCAAGGGAGGCCCGACGTCGGAGGCCTGGGACGACACGCAGCAGGCCGCGCCGCGCCGCGCCGCGCCGCCCGGCGGGTCCCAGGGCCGCCGCGGGCGCGCCACGACCACCGCCTCTGAGGGGCAACGGTGGGGGGGGGGGGACTGGCATAGGGGGGGGGACACGTCGACCCCCAGACATGATCGCGTCGTGAGAAATTGAGGACGGGAGGTTTTTGGCCATTTTCGGCCTCGGGGGGCCCTCGCCGGGCCCCGGGACCGTCAAAGAACGACTCAGGATGAAAAACCGGCCCCGGGGAAAGGGTCTGGACTTCCGGGGGCGCTTTATTTGTTGTTGTTGCAAAAATCAGGACGTCGCGTGTCTGGGCCTGGAATCGGCGATATATCGCCGATAGATCGGCGATCGGCCCCCGATGGTGAGTCCGGACCTTCCTGGGCGGGGTGGGGCTGTCGAGCCCCTGTCGGCGAGCAATGGGCGATCGGGGGTCGATGCGTCCCTCCCTGTGGCCATCCCCCCCTATGCTTAGGTCGGGCATGTCCCCCATACAGGCGGATTTTCGCAGGAAAATTGAAAAAAAGGTGATAATACATAACAAGAATCAGATTGTAGAAACAGCGTCCCCAGACTACTTCTTGACTATGTTTGAATATCCCTCCTGTGTAGAGGGACAGGCCGGACTCAACCCTATGCCCATCCCCCCCTGTGGCTGCCCCTGTGCCCCTTGGCCTCGGCGCGCAACGTGCGCGCCCGGCGCCCGGTCACAGGGCAGCCGGGGTCGTGCGCCTCGAACAGCAGGCTCCCGCCGCCCAAACCGTCGGCCTGCTGCCTGACTCACGATCGGGGAGGTGGGACTGGGGCAAAGAAGAAAAATCGCTCTGAACGGCCCCTGGAAGAAGGAAGCGCGAGAAACAGGAGCATCCGGCTGGGCCCGCTCCCCGGCTCCACCCTGGGAGAACCCTCCCTCTGCGAATCCCCGACACGCGCCGCGAGCATATCCGTATTCGCGCCCCGGCGGTCTGGGCCACTCCGGGCTGCGCGATGCCGCGGAGACGCGGCCGCTCGGGTCTCCGTCCCGCGCGGGGCATCCGCGAGCAAAGCGCCCCGCATCGGCGGGATCGCGGCCCAGCCCGCGAGGGCGCGGACACGGACATGTCTGTCTCCCGCGAATGCAGAGGCGGCATGGGTGGGGTCGGAGTAGATGGGGTCGGAGGATCGCGCCGCATCGGTAATGCGGCGCGATCCTCCGACCCCATCTACTCCGACCCCATCTGGGAGGCCTAGAGACTGATCCCCTTCTGGACGCGCTCGCGCCGCGAAATGATCTACCCCGGCAAAGCATCTGAGTAACCGCAGAGGTGAAGAGGAGGAGGAGGTCGAGACCCCGCCGTGTGCACCTCCCGGTGCATTTTTAAACAGAAGGGATGCGGGCCGTCCAGACCAAACATGTAGCCATCATTGATGGGACGCACAGAGACATACTAATATTAGATGTACTCGTGGAGGCGAGCGTCCGACCCGAACATATAGTATACCCATCTTGTAGTACATCGTTTCCCGAGCGGTGTGGCCAGAAAGCGCCCGCCACGACGCATATACTATGAGATTTCTCGATGCGCGCGTCGCCCCTATGGGGGAGACGCGCACATACTATTATCATGTTGGGGTGACGCCGAATTAAGGCGAGGGCACGATTCCGGAAGAAATATTGAAGAAAACTCGGGCGAAACTGCTGCTGGACCGGGCGGTGAAAGGCTTCCCGGCATACTTCTTAAAGAAACGCTGTGGTATTCAGGTGCGGCGGACAACTATTGGTCGTTTCGGTCTCCGCGGGCCCCGTGACAATCAAAAGGCGGCTCGGGAAAAGAAGGCGGTCCTGGAATCGCGCACCTCGAGGAGAAGGGAACAACTAATGACAAAAACATCAACTCTCCGAGGTCCGCGCCGAATTCTTCGATCGGCGCTGGAGCCTCCCTGGGCGGCCCGCCAGGAAAGGAGGTCCAGCGCCGATCCAAGAAATCAGCGCGGATCCCCGGAACGTTGTGCTTGCGCCCTGTCTTGATCGTCGGCAAGAGCAGGCTCCCGCCGAACAGCTGGTCGGCGAGGAGGGGGAGGAGGAGGAGGAGGAGGAGGAGGAGGAGGAGGAGGAGGAGGAGGAGGAGGAGGAGGAGGAGGAGGAGGAGGAGGGAGGAGGAGGAGGAGGAGGGGAGGAGGAGGAGGGAGGAGGAGGAGGAGGAGGAGGAGGAGGAGGAGGAGGAGGGGGAGGGAGGAGGAGGAGGATGAGAGGGGGAGGAGGATGAGAGGAAGGAGGGGGAGAAGGAGGAGGAGAAGGAAGCTCCTCCTCCTCCTCCTCCTCCTGCCTTATCTCTCACAGTCGGCACGTGCGACGAGGGACCTTGCTGATCATGTTAACTCCAGGGGTGCAGCCTGGCACAGCCGTCGTCGACTCTGACCTCCGACGAGGGGTGAGGGTGCCCCAGGGCTCCGCGGGGGCCCGTCGGGAGGCCAGTCGTGTGGCACCCGCTGGCAGGCCACCAACTTTT